ATCGCTTTATCATTAATGATCAGGATTTTGTTGTATTTGGTACATCTATAAGTATTAAGCGGTAGCTGGTGAATTGTGTAAACCAGAAACTGGTGTTGGCAATCTTGGCTTCATAGTTCCCATAACTGATTAACACCAAAAACAATAATGCTTGAATCGCATCGAAATGGAAAAACGTATGATGCATTCATTTCTTAAGAGGAAGGGATTTTCGATGGTGATAAAAGTTTATTACGAAAGGGATGTGCCCTTAGTTTTTTGATTAAGGATTGACGAAAGTATAATTTTCTTTCTTCTTTTTAGTCTACCTGTAAAACGTCAGGGCTAAAGAGAATAGAAGGGCTAGTTTACTCCGCTCTTAGAGCTGAAGCTACAATTTCCCTCCTCATGACGTCACTGTGTCCACAGATCTCGGAGATCGCAAGCAAAGATATTATGATAACTTTGCATCTTTCTCTTTGTAAAATTAAGCTAGACTTTTTCTGGTTATTAGTTTTCAAACTTTACGTAATTAGCACATTATTTCCGTTCATAAACATAGTTCAAAAAAACTTTCTTGGCCATTATATTAAAACAAATACCGTTTTAAACTTATAAAAATGCTTTACTAGTGGGCGAAAATGGCACTATAAATGCTTTATTTTAAAAAGTTCAGTTTTAACTTTAAATATTAAGAAAAATGAAAGCATATATCGACACTTTTTTTTATCTACATATTCTTTTATAACAATAAGTTGAGTTAAATTTAGAATCCCTGATTTTAAAATATGCCGTTAATAGCAATTTGTTCATACTTAATCATTAGGAAACATCAACCTTAAACGCTACTTACTGAAACAAAATAATAATTTAGGTTCATAATGACATTAGAAATTTTACAATTGTTTATAGATATTTAAATTTAAGAAAATATAATTTTTTTAAAAAATCATAAATATTTAGAATAACTACATTAAAAAATATGTTATGAAATTAGTAGAATTCCAACCATATACTATATATTTTACTTATACTTTTTATATACATTTTAATTTTCTTTGACTTTATCCTTTTTTTTATTTTTTTTTCACCTGCCTTTCGTTTTGAAGTAACGAGGCGGTTTCTATTTAGATAATGAATTTTTATAAAAGTTCTTAACGACAGAATAAACGTATTGCTGTTTTATAATAACTGAGTCATTTCGGAATCCATTCTTTACATAGTTGTTCATTTACTTTAGGGAACACGCGGAAAATTATATTTTTTCCTTTTGTTTTTCTATCAAAATTTTTTCAAGTTGCAATCGCGCAAACGGGCATTTCGATAATAGTTTTCAATTCTTGTAAATTCACTGCAAAAATTGAGGAAAGTCATTATAGAAAATAACAAATGTCTTAGAATATCTCGCAAAAAGAAATGCTCCAATATTAGTAAGAGCTAGTAAGGCCGAACGTTCCGTTCTTGAAGTAAAAGTGCGAGCTTTGCGCCAAGGTGACGTCACTAGAGAAAATCGGAGGATTGGCGCGGCGAGAGCTACTTCAAAGGAGTGAACCAGCCCTTCTATTCTCTTTAGCCCTGGTAAAATGTAGTTTCCTAAAATTTTATCATTATATTATTCTCTTTTTTTTCAAATTCGTTTCTGTTTAATTTATTTATTCATTTATTGTTTTTGTTGTCAGAAAGTGAATGAAATTTCGATGGGATACCGGCAAGTGACGTTGTTTACGATAGCAACTGTTCCTTCCATTCTTTTACGAGTAAGCGAAGTCCGTCATGATTCAATTATCTTAAGTATACGTAATAAGTCTTTAAGTACATTCTATATTCCTTCACAAAGATTTCAATTATTTTACTCCATATTTCTTATTTAACACAAAGACAAGTACGAAGCCTTGTAGAATATAAACTAACCTATTATGCTTCGAAGTTGCCAGGTGCACGAAATAAAAATACATCACGGTTACAATAAAATGCATAAACAAATAATAAATCTAACTTAAGTGAAAGACGCACTTGAGATGGAATTAGATTTCAACAAATTTTATGTGCTATAAGGTGCTGTATTTAATTAATTTCACGTTAATTCTAATTTATGCTCAACTGTAACACGCCATTTTGCTTATAAGCGATCAGCTGGCACTGACGTCATAGGTCTTATGCGTGGGTATCTGTGATCTTCTTCTTGAAGTGCAAGTACGCATTTAAAAAAAAAAACAAAAAAAAAANAAAAAAAAAAAAAAAAAAAAAAAAAAAAAAAAAAAAAAAAAACAACTTTAAAGTTCACGCAAAGAATAACAGGATTACAATGGCACTTCACGCAACAGGCAGTTGAAATGCATCTGTGTTGAATCAACATGTTGAAGAATTCTCAGTAAAAATAGGCCACTAATCAAAAGAAAATTTTATTTACAAAGAAAAAGACAACACACAATAAGGTTGTTGAATTTAATAATCAGTAACATCAAACTATTATAAAAGAATTGAAGAGATCAGGGGATAAAAAAGGTATGTAGAAAATTTCAATACAAACGATTTTTCAGTTCTTTATACAGTATTATTATATCTCGCATTTGGTCACATGGAAGTTTTTTTTGGGGTATGATCCCCCCCTCCCCGAAAAATCACTGAATTAAAAAAGAGATTTTTTTTTCTAAATAAAAAATTACGATTTTTAACATTTTCTAAGAATTCAAATAAACTGAAACTGCAAAACATAGTGATCCTGATACCATGAAATATAAACAATTCCTTGAGTTTAATTATTATTTTTACTGATTATTTTATTTTGTAGTGCCGGCAAAAATCATTTTATCTTTTATTTTAAACATCTTTTATTTTTGAGTAACAATAAGTGTAAAGAATTTTTTTTTATCTCAACCGTTGAACTAATTAAATAACTGAACAGTTACTACATCTCGTATTAAAATATGATACGATAAACTATAACACAAATTAAACTACAGTATGAATTAAAGTTTTGGCACAGCATAATTTAAAAAATTAAATTGTCAAAAATTAATTCAAATTAATATTCACACATCTACTGATTCCAAACATAAAAATGAACATTTTTGTTTTTCATGAATACAAATATGGTCTCAATATAAAAAATCTTAGGTACCATATTTCATTAAAAATATTTAAAAAAACTATGGTGATATTTAACTAAAATACTTTTTAATTGCATGCGAATAAAAATTCTCCTTATGCTACAATTTATCCTAAAAATTATAACTGCCCTTTTTTTTTTTTAAAAAAAAAAGGTAGTGTTTTTAAATAAATTATTTTTAAAATTAAGTCGTATTTTAAATATTCGACTTAGGAGAAGTTTTTCATAAAATGTTTTGAAAACAGGAGTGCTAGCCAAAAATATTTGGCAAGGTAAATTTATAAGCAGATTTTTAATTACAAATGTAAAGATTTTTTTATTGGATTAACGAAATATAATAGATTACAGGTAACTATAGCGCGAATTTGAGTTTTAGCACACTAAAATTAAATTAGTTCTTTAAAAAATTACAGACCTCCTTAATCCACATTATCTCTTCTAATATTGATTTATACCCACATTTTTTTAAATGCTTTACAAAGTAAAATTAAAACAAGCATTGAAGATGTTTAACATTGTTTCAAAACAGAATGAATATTAAATGATTCAATTTTAAAGTGACCGGCTTCAATATTATCACAGATAAATTTGCAGAACAAATATTTAATATCATATTACAATTGCAAATAATACATTCATAGTTATAATAAATATAGTACCATTCATTATATAAATCTTTATATATTCATTATATATTAAATATATGCATTATATATTTTTTTACAAAAATTTCAAATAGTTTCTAATATTTCAGTGCATGCACGTTCATTACATATTTATCTTAACTTTATTTAAGTACACTAAAAAAAGACGGACGGAAATTCCTTTTTTTTCAGAAATGTTTCAAAATTAGGTAGACTTAAAAATTAGGTAGATGTCATAGTAGATTTAAATTTGAGGCATTTGTAACTTTACCTAAAGTGAATGACGGCAAAGTTATCTCTATGAATATTAATTATTACTACACAAAATTACAAATGACCGAAATTGGTGGTCGTTGACCTCCACCGGTAAATGTTAACAATTACATAGTCGCTTTGGTGAATGTTAACAATCACATAGTCGCTTTGGTGAATGTTAACAATCACATAGTCGCTTTGGTAAATGTCTGAAATATATACAAGNTGATGTTTCTCCTAATCTATCCTCAGCAAATATTAAAATATCGAATACATATAATAATATTAACATTTAATATGATTAATGATAGTATACATTTAACCGGTACTCCGAACACTGAAGTTTCTCTTAATATATACTCAGCAGATATTAAAATATTGAATACATATAACAATATCAATGAATAAATAATTATCAAATCGGATATAACAAATATTTCGGACATTCACCAAAGCAACTGTGTGATTGTTGACATTCACCGGTGAAAGTCGACATTCTCTTGATTACGGTCATCCACGGTAACAACTACAAAGTATCAATAAAAAAATCAATATAAATACTGATAACGTTCTTATTATAGTGTATTGATCACACCAGTTTATTATCCATAACAAATAATTAAAATTCTTTGTTACCAATAAAACACAAATCACTCTAAAATATGTTTAGCATTTACTCTTTAATAACAAGTAAATTTGATAGTTCGTTTATTGTTTTAGGTAAAGTTAAGGAAAACATTGTCTAATCTTGTTTTCTACCATAGACGTCACAAAGAAAATTTCTGATGTTCATAAAGAAAGTTTTTTTATTATTTGATGAAACTAATTAATGCTGTATAAAATACTTACTTCTCATGATGTTGTATAAAAGTGTAAAGGACTCAAATGTAAACAAGTTATAAAAAATTTAAGCAGAGATATTAAACGTTTTGGTTAATTTTTACATGTCTACAAAATGAAATTTTTCCTTTTTAATTTATCTTTTTAACACTATATTAATAGCGGANTGTATAAAAGTGTAAAGGACTCAAATGTAAACAAGTTATAAAAAATTTAAGCAGAGATATTAAGTTAAACGTTTTGGTTAATTTTTACATGTCTACAAAATGAAATTTTTCTTTTTAATTTATCTTTTTAACACTATATTAATAACGTAATTTTTTTTTCTTAGCTTCAAATTTATTCAAGTCCAATAGCTTTTTCTTGCAAATGGTCTAGTTTAGATTTGATTTTTTATTTAGTTCCTAGATTCAAAAGTCTAGATTTTAATTTTTCTTTTTATATAAGTTTATTTTTAGATTTGGCACTAACTCCAGTTCTTAATTTAGGCTTTATTTCTATAATGCATTCTCAGTCGCACTTTCTGATCTTAAATTTCAAACCGCCTTCCTCTGTAGTGATTCGTTTTTGTTTTTTCCGTTTGAATATCAGTTTGAGACCCTTAATGTGTATACTTGATTTCATTAGATATTATGTATCGAATTCAAAACATATATTCAGATTGGACATTAAGAATTACCCTGTATGTGCTGCATACTTTCTATGGATCCATAAAAGTGTTAAAAATTTGGACATGTTTGATTGGAAGTCCTTCAATAGTTACATGCACCCAAAAAAACATGACGAAAATACGTCAATATTTTTCGTGACATACTTGTATTGTAACATCATTATGCTTTTCACAAACTTTACACTGAAAGTAGAAAACAAGATAAATGTTTCCTTAATACCATATTATACTCTTTCTAAATAGAATGGATTACGCGATTTCCTCACTCTCCACACTTTTCCCCTCTCCGTTACCATCGTTTTGGAAAATCTTACTTTCTTCCCCACGTTTCAGTAAGAAATTGGACTATAAAGGCACGTGGTAAAAACAAGATTTGCAGTTGTTATGGTAACCGAGAGGAAAAAATCATATGATCATTTATAAACTTATCTGAGAATGTCTATACTCATTCATCTTCACAAAACTGTGATTTTTATTTTAAAATGCTTTAACATAGATTAAAATTTAATAAAAAAATTATCAACATGGATAAACAAAATTAACATTTCGAACAAAAATTAAAACAAACTGCTTTTTCACATTTATAGATTTATGTACAAAAAGAAATCAGATGTAAGATTTATTGTCCTTATTCTTGTCATGCTCTCGTCCACATTGAATGATAAACGTTTAGGGGGAGAGGGTTCTATTTTCGAGATTAAGCGTGATCGGCCACTTAATGGATAGAAGGATGGAATAATTTGAAAACCTAAAATTTATGAATTAGAAATCGTCGTCCCATCCCGATAAATCGTCCGGTGGAGGTGGATCTGTGTCTGGAGGGTAGCGATCGAAATTGGAATAATCTATTGTACTACGAACCTGTAAAGGAAGAAAAAAAATTTAAATCATTCTGTGATTTAGCTATAACGTAAAATAATGTAACATAATGAAGTGGCTATAAGGGAGTTTCATAATTATTTGTCAAAGTTTTTTTAAGTTTTTTAATAGGGGCCCTTCAAATATCACCTCAGCATTCAAGGGGTGAAGGGGTTGTGTGATGCGTATTTTTGATGAAAAGGGAAGGCTAGAACGTCAAGATCCGATACATCAAAAGTTATTCAATATAATCCGTTTTTCTTCTTTTTTTAAGGGAATTGTATAATACGTTCGGTAATATAATCCGCTCTAATGCGCATTTAGTACTAGAATATTTATATAAATTTGAAGTGAAAAACTATGCGAATTATGATTTTAAGCCAGAAAGAAAACGTTTTAAAATTATTATCTACGTTACAGCTCGTGTACATTACCTAGCTATTCTGAAGATTTGCTTTGTAAAAGTGCAGAATGCACATTAACGGCTTCTACATAGTTCAAAAATCACTGAATCTACCAACTAATGATTTGATTCTTTAGACATCCGAAATACTTTCCTAAATTGTCTTGTTAATTTCCTAATAACAGCTTAAACCGCTTGACTCTTGGTATTATGGGTTTTAAAGTGATTGATTCCATCAATTAATGTGTTGATTGTTTGAATGTAATCACTTGATTTAAATATCCAAAAATGAATAAACTACAAAATTTTAATTTAAGCGTTCACTTTAACGAGCGCCTATTGGGTAAGGTGCATATGTAGTTGTTAGCATTTTACCTATGTAATTTGAAAAATGAAACAATTCTTTGGCACTTTAATGATCACTCTAGGTAATCTGTACGCTAGCTGTAGAATAAGTTATTTCGTTACTTTGGGGGTAACATATTCAATAAATAAATAGATTTCATCACATAAAAGAATAAACTCAAATATGAATTAATTATACCAGAAAATAGTTTATGGAAAAAAAAGAATTTAAAACTTACTTGTGGAATTATTGGCGGATTCAATGTTCTAGTTCTTAGACCATCGTAATAAAATCCATCGAACCATCTGTAGACACAAAGAAAATGTTTAATACAACTTTTTAATTCACACATTTACAAAAATCTGCATTAAATAAACTAGAGACTGGTTCTGTTAAATGTTATTAATTAATATTTTAAAATTTAATTGTTACAATATATACATATATATACACAGGACCCGCGATAAGGATTTCAAATTATTAGCCAGTAAATTAGACAAATATCAAAAGCACTCGCCAATTTTCGAAAGTCTTCGCCAAAGGCAAAATAATTTTTTTCTCGTAGAAAACTATTTTACGGTAGTTTGTTTTAGGCTTACATTATTTGGACCTAATTCTAATTGCTTATACAGCGCATTTATTGAAAATTACTGTAATCGAATAAAAAATATTGATTTGTTGTAGAAGAATTCACATCGGCGTAGTTTTGAGGATCGAGTAAAATATATATTTTTCATTCCAGAGGAAAAAATCACTCGCTAAAACACAATTTTATTCACCAAATTTATGCTTAGCGCGGACCCTGAAATATCTATATTATATAAAACGCTAATACGTATGTATCAATAAAACCGATGATATTTCTTTTCTCGCGTTGGCAACAGTTTTCATATTTAATTGATAGGCTTCGGCGCGCAAGAGCACGTAGTGAGCATCATATGGCTAATCTATATTATATAAAACGCTAATACGTTTTAATTGACAGGCTTCGGCGCGCAAGAGCACGTAGTGAGCATATCATATGTCTAATCGGGTGAATTCTCACCGAATTATCAAAAAAATTGTCACAAAATTATCTTCATCGAAGCCGATGCTTTACATCCGGCTTTCAGTACTATTTCATATTGTTTTACATCACTTGGTTTTAGCCCTCTGGTGGGAAAGACTTTAAAACAAAACTTTCAAAAGTTACTTTTCTCAACAACTGAAATTTAGAATAGTGTGATTAAGAAAAATATGTGAACTGTTTGCAATTTCAAATTAATATTGAAATGCACAGGTTTAGAATTTTCTACAGTATCTTATATTACAGAATTTTCTACAGTTTTCGGAACTTCAGAGTTCAAAAAAGTATACAAAAGCTAGCGCGAGCCAATGCGCGAGCAAATCGAGCATCGAATTGCGAAGCAATCCGAAATGAACTGCGAAAGCAGTTCCGGGGGTTGGCGAGCGCCAGCGAGCAGGGGGCGAAGCCTCCTAGTATTTATATAATAAACAAGTAGAACATTAAAATAAAACATATTTTTATTAAAAAAATTATAGTATACCTAAGATGATAATCGAAACAATTAAACAATTTATTTTGAAATTTTTAAAAAGAAATGTTTACTAAAAACACATATGAATTTGAAAAGAAAAAAAATATTAAATAAAAAATTAATATTAAATTAAATATTAAATAAAAAATACTCTATATAAGTACAAAGACAATTTTTATATGTGATTAAAACACTGATGCATCGTTTAAGAAAAATATTTTTATTTATAATAAAAAAAAATAATGTAAAATAATGTTTTTATATAAAAAGAAGTAAAAATTTAGAGAATTTGGGAAAATTAACTTGACACAATGTATCAACAATGGAAAACTGATTACGAAATAAGTTTTTTTATTTTTTTTTTCCGCTTTATTAAATGATCTGATAGAAAAATTTTATAACTTAATTCTACACTTTGAAATTTTTCTTGTATTTACGTATTTGCTTTCTTTTTTAAAGAATACAAAAAAGCATACCCATTAAAGGAAACTTTGTGCTACTTAGGAATAAATCAAAATAGCACTTTGCATTACATACAACGTGATTAAAGCACAAATAAGACACTAAAGTGGACATAATTTAGTTTCGGTTTTATGATCCTTCCGCAGTGTTATAGGATGCACTTTTCTTTGCTGCAATTTGTTTGCCTCGTGTTTTCTTCTGTCATTTTGTATTTCCATACTGAAGAAGGTACTTACGAAACAAAAAGTATAGTATCTTTTTGTGAGGCTATTTGTGCTTTATTTACGTTGTTCAGAATTATTTAAAGCATACCATATAATGATATATAAATACAGCAATTTCTTTGTTGCAACTTGCTTGCCTCTAGTTTTTTTCTGTCATTTTGTATTTCCATACTGATGAGCGTACTTATTTATGAAACAAAAATAATAGCATGTTTTGTGAGGTTATTTGTGCTTTATTTACGTTGATCAGAATTATTTAAAGCATACCATATAATAATCAATATATTAATACAACAATAATACATAATTTTTTGACGAAGAGGTAATCTTACTTGTGCTTTTGTAAATCTTGGATTCCATTTTGATAACCTATTCTTTCAGCCGGCATTTGTCTATAAAAAATGCAATATTAAGCAGAAAAATAATAATCGAATAATGGTTCACCTATTTAATTAAAATTGAACTAACATTAAATGGAATTAATAATTTAAACGAGTATTTTGATTTTTCATTATTTAATACAATGAGTGTTGAAAAGTTTTTGAATTGTAATGCATACAAATTTTAACATCATTTTAAATTGTGAAACCTTAAGTGACAAAATGGAAAATTTCGATAATATCTGTGGAATAACTTCTTAGTAACAAATTTTCTTAAAAAAAAAAGCGCGTTTTTAAGTTCTTCGTTTTAAAGAGTTATTCGACAGAATTCGTTCAGATTTTGTACTTTGTCATTTAAAAATTACATAGTTTAAAATGATGTCCCCTTAAAATGCTAGATTAGAATTCAAAATTACCTAGTTTTAAAATTAGTTACATAATTGGTCAACAGACAGGTGAAAACTATAATTTACTGTAAAGTAATGTTTTCAAAATAACCATCATTTGCAGAAACAGCGCAGTCATAATGACTGACATCAGTGCAAGTATTTAAAATTGAACAGTCAGCTGAAAACATTGCTTTTTTTATAAGCCAGCAGCGCTATCTGTTGGAGAACTTAAAAACTTGGCTTGAATCTCGCTGGGAATAAATGTGTTGTTTACAAGGCAGAATGCAGCAAATTGTATATTTCTATTTTTTCCTCCAATTGCAATTTTAACAACACTGCACAACAATTTTGAAATTTTTTTTAGGTCTTTTAGACTAGTGTTCCCCAATCTTTTTATCACCGCGGACCTGTCAACGTTGGATAATTTTACCGCGCCCCGCTGGGGAGGGGGGAGGCGAACGATGATTGCTTATATTTTAGATTTTGATTTATTAATTTAAATTTAATTGTATTTAAACATGCCTTCAAAATAAAATACAGTTACACCAAAAAATAAATATAAAGGGATTTAACATTTTAACTTACTAGAACGTTAAATTAATGAGAACCCTGAGCTTGTTTCTTTGTAATGAGACGGTTCCATCTGGGGGTAATCGGAGACAATGATACTTTACAAACATTAAAAAATGTATGTCACTACCCTCCGGGCCCCCCTTTTTTAAAAAATAAATAAAATTTTAATGGAACACAGATATTTTTAATTTGGGGTATAAACCTCGGAATTTATTTTCAATGAAATGGGCAGCCCGGTACCATTCGATCCACGGACCGGGAGTTGAGGAACACTGCTTTAGAGGATATTCTGCTTTTATCCATCAAAACCAAAATGGCAAATTGCGTTGAAGGGGGGAAAAGTCACCAACCTTCTAGACATCCTAAAGCATCTATTGCTCCGAAACTTTGGGAAAGTAAATAAGGCTTTTGTTGCCAAGATTGCCGAAATGGGCCTTTGCTTGTTAAAATACGTTGTTATTGTGTTCAGTTAAAATACGTAATATCACCGAGCTAAGATTTGATTTTTGGGGAAAATGGTAAACAAAAAATAATTTACAGATTCGTTACTTTAAGCAAAAAATATTCATACATTTTCATCTTGGTATTTAGATCTCAGTATTTACACAGTACAACATATAGTTTGTCTAAAGTAAGAACTCCCCTAACCATTCGTCTGGACTCGTGGGGGTAACTATTGTAACGATGCATAACTATTTTAAGTAGGGGTGTGGGGTCATTGCTTAGGACAGGTTATCTCCGGTCTATTGTGTTAGCCCTAGAGTAAAGAGTAGCTACCCTCCCTGAAAGGCGCTATTCTTGTTTCCATAGCAACAGACGGCCTCCGACTTTGTGGCGAGGGAAGTTCTTACCATAGACAAACTATATTAGGATGATTTTAAAAAGATTACCTGCAAAGTTTCTTAATGAGAGCGGCAGCATTTCTACTGATGACGCGTGGAAATTCTATAGCATCAATGCCTTTTAATATGATATTGTAGGTTTTCATGGGATCGGCTCCTTGGAATGGAGGCCTACAAAAAAAAGAAAGAGTTAATTTTCCTTGTTGCTGTTGTCGTATGCCATTAAGGCAAGAGATGCGATTGTGCTTGTTTTCCAGTGGCGCCATCTATGGCCAGGAATTTGAATTCTGCCATATCCGTTTATAGGCTGGACCCATACATACATCCACAGGTCTTAATTTTTACCTGGATCAGAGAAAGATCAGTCTCCAATTAAGTACCCCTAGAGATATAATTTGGTATTTGAACATGGAGGACTTTGGGACCCGACTGATTTAAAGTCAGTCAGTCACCATTTACTACACGGGAAATCTTCCACCAGCTGGATTCGAGCTCCCGTTCTCATGAACGTGAGTCTAGTGCCCTTCCGACCAGGCTATCCCAGCCCCTTAATTCTCCTTAAAATATTCTTTTTACATATAACAATCAGATTTTTACACTTACAAAGACTGAATGATTCAATGGTCTAATGTTAAATCTGCTACTTAACTAATGTATGTGGGCTTCTAAGTTACTAAATTTAGACACAAAATCGTACTTTCTCAGAACTTTTTTTTTTCCTCGACGGAATCGTTTTCTTGATTTTTCAAAACTCCTGATTCGCATTAATTTGAAAAACATAATCCTAATAGTTTAGATCGGAGCTATATTGAAAATTTAGACCCGTTATTGTTAATTCCATTCAATCTCAAAGAATTCATATTTTTTAAACTTTTATTTCTCGACTGATTCTCTTCAAATTTTGCATTCTATTATTTAAAATCACGTAGATTAAACTGCCATAAAAATATCTACATCTCATGATTCATTTTTTTCTCCCCATTGATAAATTAAATGGAGAAAAATAATTGGTGGCATGAAATTATTTCCGGAAAAAACAAGTTTTATAGCTGTGTGCAAATATTGTTTGATTCACTTCATTAGTTCGAGAAATGACGAAATATGCAAGAAATAAAAATTAGAATTACGTGGCCTAAACTTCGTCCGTTCTCCAACTTTAAGAGAGGGGCTTCCCTGGCAGAGAGGTATCACCAGCCAAACTCTGTACAGAGCGTGGAGGTAGCGGGTTCGAATCCTGCTCTTACCCTGTATGTATCATTCTCTGCATTGTGCTATCTCTCCTTCTATTTGACAAAGGTTTATAAGTCTAAATTGAGCACACAAGATTGCAAATGTATGTAAATCTAATAAATAAAAATAGGAAACTATAAGGACCCAATTTTTCTAATTGCAGGGACTCTGACGTTGAGAGAAAATCATATTTATTTAGAAAAAGTGTGTTTTTGTGTCTGATTTATTAGCTTAATTTATCGTCTACACACATTAATTAGCCTATTTAAAATTATGCAATTAATTATTAATAAATATCTAGTTCCAGTACGTGAAAATACGAGCATTTGATCAAAAGTTATTATAGGATCTCACTCTGAACCTAACCAGGCTAAAAGTCTAATGCCTCTATTCCTAATACAGCCTCTGAAAACATTTGATTTCACAAAGCAGCTGATTTCAAAACACTTAGGAATGTTTCAAAGTTAAACTTTACTAAATTGATTGCTACATTTTTATTTTATTTTTACTAAAAATATGTTTGATACATTAATGAAGCAAAAAACTATCTTTTTTAATTTAAATAAATATTAACAATATTAAAAATTGTATTTCTTTTTTGATAGGTAGATCATTGATATTTAGGCATTCCATAAACAGTTTCATACTGTTTATTTCTCCCCAGTAAGAAATGCTACATTTTTCTCCTTGAGAACATAATCGGAAATTAGACGAGAAAACGTTTTTAAATATATTTGACTTTACAAAATAAACTCACAACAATTCGGTTATGATTTTATTATGGTTTTAGAACGTTTTGATAATGAAATAATACCGTTCTGGGGATTAAAAAGCAACTGGAGGCGGTCAGTATAGTTTCCAGCAAGTTAACTATAATTTGTGTTTATTATTATAAGTACACACTGTACTTTCACATCAGAATAATGATATTTATACAACAGAGACGTGGTAGATCAGGGGATAGAGCCTTCGTCTTCCAATGAGGTGAACCGGGTTCGAATATCAGCCATGGCTGGTCTATACGAATTCCGTATCAGGTTTGTACCGACCACAGTACAGACGTAAAATATCCTCAGTTGTAATAGGATCATGGGTTAGAGTCCACTTGGTGTTAGGCTAACTGTGAGAGGTTTTTCTCTAAGTGTAACGCAAATGTGCGTTAGTTTCATCAAAAAGTCCTCCACGAAGACATATTTTGCCCAATACTTGATCCAGGAGTTCCCTTGCTTTTTGGATTGGGTTTAAAATTAAACACCCACGGAGTATTAGTATACGGAACATAAATAGTCTTAAACCCAAAAATTGGGTAGGCTGTAAAATAAAAAATTTAAAATAATATAAAATAAAAAAATAAAAAATAAATAAAAAAATAAAATAAAAAGTAAAATAAAAAAAAATGTAAAATAAAATAAAAAAATAAAATAAAATAAATAAAAAATAAAATAAAAATAAAATAAAATTAAGTAAATAAAAAATAAAATAAAAAAAAAAATAAAATAAAAAAAATATAAATAAAATAATATAAAATAAAATTAAAAAAATAAAATAAAATAAAAAAATAAAATAAAAAAAAAAATGAAAAAAAAAAATAAATAAAAAAAATTAATAAATAAAATAAAATTAAATAAAATTAAAAAACAAATTAAATTAAATTAAATCTATTCAATAGTACATACATGCCAGTGAGCAATTCATACATGAGTACGCCTAAAGACCAATAGTCAGCGGAAATATCGTGACCTCTGTTCATAATAATTTCAGGGGCCACGTATTCAGGAGTACCACAGAAAGTCCACGTTTTCTGTCCCGGCTGCAGTTTCTTTGCAAAACCAAAGTCCACCTAAAAAAAAAAAGGCAACCAATGTTTAACAACTACAACTCTAAATTTAAAAAAAAAAAATTATACATGTATAGTCAAAATAGTCTTACTAGTTTCACGTAACCTTGGGTGTCTAGAATCATATTTTCTGGTTTTAAATCTCTGTAAATGATATTTCTTGAGTGTAAATATACAAAGGCTTCTACGACACATGCCACATAGAATCTTGTTGTAGACTCGTCAAAACTACCTCTGCAATATTGTTTGAAGGCATGTAAGAGAATTGTAAATAAGAATTTTGAATAACTTATCAATAAAATATTGACGTACAAAGGAATATTTATTGAATGTACAACCGAAATTCGATTGTATTTCAAGCATCGACTAATTAAGGTAAGCTGGTCAAACAGTGCTACAAACTAAATCGGGCAGTGGATTCGCAGGACCAACAAACAAGCTCTCCTTTGCACGTATTGTCCATTTCAGACATACAGCTGGACGCTGCAGTTTATTGAAAGAGTATAGTTTGTCTAAAGTAAGAACTCCCCTAGTCATTCGTTTGGACCCGTGGTGGTGACTATCGTAAGGAGTTATGGGGTCTCAGGGCACTGTCAGTTTTTGGTTTCACCACTGACAGCAGAAAGGCTTCTGTGTGTTAGCAGGCAGTGTGTCCCTTGATGAAGTGCTGTACTGCTAACACACATATCTTAAATTTTCATAATTCTTGTTGCTTTCTGCTAAAATTGTTTTTCTGACTTTATAAATGATGGTAAGGAGGTATAACTATTTCAAGTAGGGGTGTGGAGTCATTGTTTAGAACAGGTTTTGGCTCGGGCCGAAGAGAGAGGGGAATCTTTTTGTTTGGTCTACTGTGTTAGCCCTAGAGTGAAGCGAAGCTGCCCTCCCTGAAATGCTCTATTCTTGTTTCCATAGCAGCAAACGGCCTGAGACTAAGTGGCGGGGAGAGTTCTTACCGTAGACAAACTAGAGATGGATTATTGTATCTTGTTGTCAACACGGCTTGTCCTTCCACGCATTTGGAGAAAAAAGTAAATTGGTGATTGCAATCGTTTTATATCATTATGAAGCGGAAACCAAATAAGTTATCATTATGAAGTAATCATTGCATGTCATCATTGCAAGTAATTATTGCAAGTAATCATTACAAGTAATCATTATGAAGTGGAAAATAAGTTATGAAGTGGAAACTAAATAAGCTATGATTGTGAAGTAATCAATACAAGTAATCAATGCAAGTAATCATTTCAAGTAATCAATGCAAGTAATCAATACAAGTAATCATTATAAGTAATCATTATAAGTAATCATTATAAGTAACCTTTACAAGTAATCATTTTAAGTAATCATTATGAAGTGGAAAATAAGTTATGAAGTGAAAACCAAAGAAATTCTGCCAATTAAGTACATTTAGTTGTATAGGACCTAGGTACGTTGATCAAAAAGTAATGAGTCTCTCTCTTTCGAATTTTGGTCAAAAACTGCCACGCGTTTGTGGAATGATATCCAAAAGCTGCAGGGATCAATGTTTCAGGTTTTCACGTGAAATATTATGTGTTTTATTTAAAAAGCAGCTGTTTCCCTGACATGGTATAGAAAGTTAATGACACTGTTTATTGTCAGGTGATTGTGTTTTTACAAAAATGATGCATTAAATATAATAGTACGATCACATTACCTGTCTCGTAATATTGTCCACAACTCTCCGCCTAAGCAACATTCCATCAACATGTATAAATATTTTCTATCTTTAAACGTTCTATACAACCTGAAAAACAATTACATACATGATCAGTTTTTATTACATACTAATAAGCAATCGTTAAATTTTATAGCATTCCGAATATAAATTCCTATTTGTTAACTTTACTTAAGAAATATGATACATACACTTAAAAATGCACAAACGATGTACTTAATTCCCACATTAAGTATATCGAGAAATTAATAAAAATATTACTTACAAAATTGAAAATTGTTTACAAAAGCAACACATGAAAAAATGTTGAAATATTATTTCCAAGAGCAACCTATAGTTATAGCATATTATTTCAATAATACAGGGTTATTCCTAATTCCCTCCGCCTGTAAACGCCATTTTTCTTTATTACAACTGGCTTCAGTGGTACATGTTACTGCCATCTACCGGCAACTGCTTAAATTAAAACTTGAATACATTCGGAATAATTATCATATGTTCTTTTTTGCCATATTCGTCTTCGTTTTTTTACTATAACGCTCGAAACCACGGAGGGAATTATGAATAACCCTGTATAAAAGTATTGCATAAAAACTCGTTCAAAACATGTAATTATTAAAACAATACAGTGCTTCTAATAATTTGGTCAAATTATTATAATATACTAATATAATACCGTATATAATAGATATTCTATATTTATATAAAATATATCGTCGAATTTGTATTATACAGCGTCTAATTTAACCAATTAATACACGAACGTAACTAAGTGAAAACCGGTTTCAGTCACGTGAAAACAATAAAGCTGTTTAGTATCACCTGATAATTAAGATTTTACATGGTGCGTCTAATAATTTGGCCAATTCATATTGTGCGTCTAATAATTTGGCCAATTCATATTGTGCGTCTAATAATTTGGCCAATTCATATTGTGCGTCTAATAATTTGGCCAATTCATATTGTGCGTCTAATAATTTGGCCAATTCATATTGTGCGTCTAATAATTTGGCCAATTCATATTGTGCGTCTAATAATTTGGCCAATTCATATTGTGCGTCTAATAATTTGGCCAATTCATATTGTGCGTCTAATAATTTGGCCAATTCATATTGTGCGTCTAATAATTTGGCCAATTCATATTGTGCGTCTAATAATTTGGCCAATTCATATTGTGCGTCTAATAATTTGGCCAATTCATATTGTGCGTCTAATAATTTGGCCAATTCATATTGTGCGTCTAATAATTTGGCCAATTCATATTGTGCGTCTAATAATTTGGCCAATTCATATTGTGCGTCTAATAATTTGGCCAATTCATATTGTGCGTCTAATAATTTGGCCAATTCATATTGTGCGTCTAATAATTTGGCCAATTCATATTGTGCGTCTAATAATTTGGCCAATTCATATTGTGCGTCTAATAATTTGGCCAATTCATATTGTGCGTCTAATAATTTGGCCAATTCATATTGTGCGTCTAATAATTTGGCCAATTCATATTGTGCGTCTAATAATTTGGCCAATTCATATTGTGCGTCTAATAATTTGGCCAATTCATATTGTGCGTCTAATAATTTGGCCAATTCATATTGTGCGTCTAATAATTTGGCCAATTCATATTGTGCGTCTAATAATTTGGCCAATTCATATTGTGCGTCTAATAATTTGGCCAATTCATATTGTGCGTCTAATAATTTGGCCAATTCATATTGTGCGTCTAATAATTTGGCCAATTCATATTGTGCGTCTAATAATTTGGCCAATTCATATTGTGCGTCTAATAATTTGGCCAATTCATATTGTGCGTCTAATAATTTGGCCAATTCATATTGTGCGTCTAATAATTTGGCCAATTCATATTGTGCGTCTAATAATTTGGCCAATTCATATTGTGCGTCTAATAATTTGGCCAATTCATATTGTGCGTCTAATAATTTGGCCAATTCATATTGTGCGTCTAATAATTTGGCCAATTCATATTGTGCGTCTAATAATTTGGCCAATTCATATTGTGCGTCTAATAATTTGGCCAATTCATATTGTGCGTCTAATAATTTGGCCAATTCATATTGTGCGTCTAATAATTTGGCCAATTCATATTGTGCGTCTAATAATTTGGCCAATTCATATTGTGCGTCTAATAATTTGGCCAATTCATATTGTGCGTCTAATAATTTGGCCAATTCATATTGTGCGTCTAATAATTTGGCCAATTCATATTGTGCGTCTAATAATTTGGCCAATTCATATTGTGCGTCTAATAATTTGGCCAATTCATATTGTGCGTCTAATAATTTGGCCAATTCATATTGTGCGTCTAATAATTTGGCCAATTCATATTGTGCGTCTAATAATTTGGCCAATTCATATTGTGCGTCTAATAATTTGGCCAATTCATATTGTGCGTCTAATAATTTGGCCAATTCATATTGTGCGTCTAATAATTTGGCCAATTCATATTGTGCGTCTAATAATTTGGCCAATTCATATTGTGCGTCTAATAATTTGGCCAATTCATATTGTGCGTCTAATAATTTGGCCAATTCATATTGTGCGTCTAATAATTTGGCCAATTCATATTGTGCGTCTAATAATTTGGCCAATTCATATTGTGCGTCTAATAATTTGGCCAATTCATATTGTGCGTCTAATAATTTGGCCAATTCATATTGTGCGTCTAATAATTTGGCCAATTCATATTGTGCGTCTAATAATTTGGCCAATTCATATTGTGCGTCTAATAATTTGGCCAATTCATATTGTGCGTCTAATAATTTGGCCAATTCATATTGTGCGTCTAATAATTTGGCCAATTCATATTGTGCGTCTAATAATTTGGCCAATTCATATTGTGCGTCTAATAATTTGGCCAATTCATATTGTGCGTCTAATAATTTGGCCAATTCATATTGTGCGTCTAATAATTTGGCCAATTCATATTGTGCGTCTAATAATTTGGCCAATTCATATTGTGCGTCTAATAATTTGGCCAATTCATATTGTGCGTCTAATAATTTGGCNCAGTGCTGACGTGAAAAAATATTCTATACATATGAAATTGACAGTGGGCGGGGGTACCAGCTGGGCGGTGCTACCCGACTCTCCCCTACATTTGGATTGATAAAAATAGACTCACTTTACAACAAAATCACAATCTATTTCGTCCATTATGCTCTTCTCAGATTTGATGTGAATCTGTTGCCTGGTCTCTACTATCTGCGCTTTCTTCATCACTTTCAAAGCAAACGCTCTGCCAGGATCGTTTTTGATGTGAACCTAACAATATTTAACGAAAATCAACAATATTGTTTGACAACAACTAAATAAACCTTTACATTAAATAGCAATAAATGAGTACAGGAAGGGATTTAAATGACATTTTATTAAATTTGAGTTTATGCGTAAGGATACGAGAACTCGCCTTTATTCCTTTCAATTTGCTGCCAGGTTTTCGAAGAAATTGTCGTCTGCTGTTAAAACACTTAGAAATGTCGTTTGGATTTTTTCTGGCTCGAGTATAATAAGTTCATAATTTTTTTTTAAAATTTATAATCTGTATAGTTGTTACCGTGAATGAACGAAATCAAGAGAATGTCGACTTTCACCGGTGAATGTCAACAATCACATGGTCGCTCTGGTGAATAACCGAAATATTTGTTATATCCGATTTGATATGAATTTATTCCGTAATATTATATTTATTCTATATTTTAATATCCTTTGCCTAATTGGTAGGGCACTTAGCCCATGTGCAAGAGATAGTGGATTCGATCCCCGCCGGCCGAAGACTCCTCGTGTAGTAAATGGTGACTGATGCACGTTAAATCTGTCGAATCTTAATGTCTTCCATGTCCCCATAGTCCCGCAGTGGACTGATCATTAAGACACGGTTCCCAGCAGATCACCGAAGTCAAGTATCACTGGCTGCGGTCAGTGTGCGGGTGGGTGACCACTTGGATCTGTCTGCGTAGGACCGAGGGTGTGCAGTATTGGTCCTCGTTAAACTGTTCTACCGTAAAATGCTCGACTTCGCGTGCAGGTCATGGGGCTACCGAAGCGGGGTTGCCATCTCCTCTGCAGAGGATCAAAATTATGTTGGCATGTCTTCGAATCATCCTCAGGGATGTTTCACAGACCGTCGCCAATAGCCCATTGTGCAGCTCTAATGCGACGTAAATTAACAACAACAACATCCATGTTCCCATAACAAATCAATACCTCTGGGGTACTGATCCAGGAGTTTCCTAATCTTCAGGATTGGTTCAAAATTACAAGGCTACAGGGTTGAGCATTAAAAGTCGTAAACCCGAAAATTGGGTCGATATTAATATAAATATGATAATATTTACCCCGACCTGCCCCAATTTAGGGTATACGAGTAAATGTTTATTAAAAACCAAGTAAAAACATTAAAGAACATAAAATACATAAAGTGCATAAAATACAAAAGTCATATGGCAACAGCCCGTAAATTTTGCGGGCGAGCAATACTGTTGAACAAAATTAGCTATCTACAATTAGTCAGAATATTATATCTTTAAGAAAACATGACAAATACATGTGGCATGCATGTCATGAAAAGTCCAGGTAAACAGACCCTAAAATATGGTTTAAAAGCACAATTAAATTTAAAACACCAGCAACATTAGAAGCAAAATAAAATGTAAATTGCCATTCTAGGTCAACAGACCCTTATATTGAGGCAATCAAATGGTATAAAATTTAAAAACTAATCATAGGGCAAATTGTCTATTAAGCAAACAATTAAACGAGTTACAAATAGTAAAATCAACAAAAATAATGTTGAAATAGTAAAAGTGGATTAAAATGGTGTGAATGACGAGGACAGATCAAATCCAACCTAAGAACACCATGAGATTTAAAAAAATTTTAAAGTCACTAAAAGCCCAGTTTAAAGGATACTCATCCTGGCTGAAAATCAAAATCGCCGAACCATAGTCTCCGGTGATGAGGTAATTAAAGCTAGAAAATTAGAGTAGACTCAGGAGAAATGGAAACGTTGAACCATACGGTAGTTGGACGGCCAGAGTTAGTAAAAAGTTACAGTGGGTTTAATGTATCTTCCAAAGTTGTTTTGATAATACTTTTGATGATTAATCTGCAGGTCAGGTTAGAGTAAATCTGGTGTTCTGTTTTGTTGTGAAAATTGTTGCCTCGTCGTGTTTGAAACTTAGGACTTTGAAAAATTAGGTGATGAATGTCTTGTTGTGAGTTGAAATAAGTACATGTTGAAGATTTCCTAAAAAATCTTGCTTGGCGTGTGCCAAACACGCCGTGGCCCGTTAAGAACTGATTAATATAAGAGTTTGCCTTCATTCTTGTAGTTTTTTGGATCCTTAAAGAATTTGTAAGTCTGCCGTCCTTTTGTACTGTTGGTCCAGTCCAATTTCCATCGAGCCATAATATGGTTGTTGATTATAGATTTGATCTGAATGGGGGTCAGCCAGGTAGTATTTTCTATGGTGTCAAGTCTGATGGCTTCTTTGGCTAGTTGGTCCGCCTCCTCATTGCCGGCATGCCCCGCGTGTGCTTTAATCCAATTCAGTGAGATACTCTGTCTCCAAGCATGTTTTATGTCATGAACAATCGTATTTTTATGTGTGGGGTCAGCCAGTGCATGCAATGAGGAGAGTGAATCTGCATAAATTGTAGTTTGTTCTTCCTGTTTTGCTGCATAATTTATTGCTTCTCTGATCGCCATCAGCTCGGCCTCAAAAACTGAGCAATAACCGGATGCTCTGGAGGAGGTCTTGGCAATAGTGATGCCATTATACTTTAAGATTACTCCGAAACCTGTCCTGAAGTGTTGAGGTTTGACCTCCATCCTGGAGCCATCTGTATATATTTCTAAACCATTATTATCTGGATATTTATATCCCCAAGGCATAGCGAGTTGAGTGGCGGGGTGAACTGGGGCTTTTGTAGTAAGGTTCGTTTTTTCCAATAACTGTCCTTTGAATGACGGGAAGAATGTCATCTATTTTCCAGCCCCATTTGATGCGTTTGTTGAAGATTGTCTCAATAACCTTCAAATGAGTAGGTTTAATGCCCGTCAGTATCTGGATAGATTCAGTGCTTGCTGTGGAATAACACTTTGTGATTGTGAGAAGCGGTTATCCTCTGAGGATAGATAAGGAGAAACATCAGTGTTCGGAGTACAAGTTAAATGCATACTGGGCAGTGGCATTAAACCTTAAAAAACATCAGTGTAGGATATATCGGGCAGTGGCACTTAACTAGAGCTAGTATATATTTCTGACATTTACCAAAGCGACTATGTGATTGTCAACAATCGCCGGTGGAAGTCAACAACCACCTATTTCTGTCATTCACAGTAACATAGTCATTCCATTCACTTATTAATCGATTTACTGTGTTATACCCATTCACTTTTTGATTTACCAATTCATAAATCGTTTAAATGGTAAGTTAAAAAAAGGGTAAACTTTAATAACTTGGAATTTGGTGAATTCGTTTCTAAATAACAATAAAGATAATAAATTATTTTAAAAAAATTGAGTCTAAAAATGTCTTTAAGTGCGTTTTAAAACGATGTTCCATTTTTGGAACAAGACTAATTCGTCCCAGAGGTGTTCTATGAAATTTAGATCAGGGCTCTGAAAAGGCCAGTTCAGTTCTGACACACTATGATAATGATAAGAATAGGATAATGATAAGAATGAACAAGAATAGGATAATGATAAGAATGAACAAGAATAGGATAATGATAAATATACCAATTCAACTCTTCCAAATCCTCCTACTCCAAGTGTAGTTATGTAGTGCAAATCAGTAAGTTTCATTTTCATAAGACCCTCATCCATACTGAAACAGAAAAAGCATTTCTGGTTATAACTAACGTTACTTAAACGTTGGAAACAGGATTAATAAATGATTTTAAATTTTACCTGAAACCATCTACGGATGCAGTAAAAAGAATTTTGATATTTTTTTAAAAAATAGAATTACAGCAAAGGATCTTATTGAATGACAGTATAAATATATAAATAATAATTAACAAAGCAATTAAAAAAAACTAATACCTTCTCTTTACTAGATTTTCGTCATAGTTCTTCTCCTTTATTTCATTAATATTGCTTATCAGTTGGTTAAATGCCCTAAGGAGATTTAAGAAGAAAAACAATTACAATGTGAAGAACAAAATCGTAAAATCAGTTTATAAAAATGTAAAACAATTCTAACATTAGATACACTTTAAAAATTTTTTGAAACTCTGGAGTCGAAGATAAACTGTGCAACAAACATTGTTGTCGTCGGCCATTAAAGCAAGGGGAGTGCGATTGTTCTTGTTTTCCAGTGGCGCCATCTATGGCCAAGAATTTTACATCTTCCACATCCATATGTCACACCCGTTTATAGGGTGGACCCATTCATACATCCATTCATTCGTCCACAGATCATAACTTTGACCTGAACCAGAGAATGATCAATCTCAAAATAAATACCCTCATGTTAATGATTTGTTATGGGAATATGGAGGACTTTGTGACCGGACAGATTTGAAGTGCACCGGTCACCATTTGCTACACGGGGAGTCTTCGGCCGGCTGGATTCGAACTCCCGCTCTGACAAACATGAGTCCAGCGCCCTGTCAACAAGGCTATCTCTGCCACAAGGATTGTTAGGAAAATCATATTAACGATACATAATATATATGCTCTGAACTTAGCATGTTTTGGACTAAACAAGATTTTTTTAGCATGTTTTGAACTAAACAAGATTAGATAAAATTTAGCATGTTTTGGACTAAACAAGATTTTTTATTTGAATATTTTTAAGTATATGTATGTATATACGTTTTCATGTATGTATTTTCAAACGAACTGACACTAGTTTTAATTTTTATCATTATAAAACATGTTTTAAGAGAATTCCGCATTGCAAAAAATGTATAAAAAATTTACAAAGTGTTCACTATGCTGCTCAGACCATGTTTTGGTATAAATTAAAAATATAAAAAACTTTTCCATAAATATTTATTGACATACATGGGTATTTTAAAACTAACTGACGCTTATGTTTTGTAATGAAACATGTTTCAAATGAATAGCGTACTAAAAATTCACAAAACTACAATAAATTAAGGAAAATTTACAAAAAATAGCGATAATTCCCTCAAAAATAAGCCAATGCCCTTGAAATTTGAATAGGTTGCTAAATAAGAGTTGCTAAGTAAAACTGCAATATGTAAACTAATTGTGCAGTAATGGAATAACGTATAATAATATATTAAAGATGTTTGAGATCTTAGAGTTCCGTTTGCTCAAAACCGAGTTTTGTTGTACAGTGCGCAAAAAACGAACAACTCCAAATAACTTTTGATCCAATGAACAGATCTTCACGTTCTATAACTCAATATTAATGCCACGAAGGGGTGACTTCAAATATGCTAATTAATAAGTGCAGACGATATTTAAAGTTACGAAATCAGACACAAAAACGCACTGTCTCTTAATAGACATACCTTTTTTCCGACGGATTCGGATTTCTTCCCCTAAAAATTTAGGGGGGAGCCGCAAGCTGGGAAATAGGTTCTCAATAGTTTGGTCAGGCGAGAGTTCCAAAGTTTGGATGTTCATTTTACTTTTAGCGAATTTCGCTATACTCGAGAATTTTGAATATATTCGCTATCTCGAGAATTTTGTTAGCGAATTAAAATAATTTTACTTTCAATTATAAAATTCGTTAAATCCAAAGGTGTTTCTTTAACCATTTTTCATCCAATACCAAATTTCTCGTCTTGTGAGAGAGGCCTTCTATTAAATTTTCAACAATTGAGAACTCGGTTTAAAAGGATTTAACTATTCTGGTGAATCAATCTTCAATATTTTTTAGCAGTAAAAAACGTTATAATCTATGCGTGAATTAATCGAAAAGAAAAAAAAAACTTTTTCAGTAAATTCAACGAGATTTTATATCCTTACGATAAGATTTATTTTCTTCATTTAATTAAAAGTGACGAAAAACATCCAAGTGATGAGCTTCCTGATTAGTCAGGTAATGATCTAGTAATTATTGGTTAATAAGGTGAATTAATTAGTCTGATGTCTCCCCGAACCACCTTCTATGACGAAGGTCGAACCAATTTCCCCATTTTTTAAAAATTTTAGTTTACAAATTGAAAAAACAATAACAATCGGCACACATAAAATGCAAGCTTGAACTTAGCATCACGTTCCATTTACATTTTATTGGTTTTTAATACTGTTATTATAATTGTAACTAGTGATTGGAAAAACTGCATTTTCTTTGTAATTAACTGCTACTACTTTATTACAATGGCAGTTAACTACACTTACAACTACTTTCTTCTTAAATATAGTGACTACAAATTACTTTCGAAACGTAGTCACTACTTTTAGATGACAAATTTAACTGGAGTACTTAATTTTCACCAATATTCAAACTAATTTCAAATAAAAAAATTGGCTTGTTAAACATGAGGACATATTAAGTTTTAATTTATGATTAAATTAAATAATTTTTCATTCTAAACCACTTTTTACGAATTTGTTCTTTAACTCTACGCTTTTCTCGACAGGATTTAATAGATGGTAGGAAATTATCAAATATTTGTGATTCAAGTGATCAATGCTTTTTATATCCTCTAAGAAATAAAGTGCGAAAATCAAAAATGGATCACCCTGAATAACTTTTGATCTAATAATCGGATGTTCTAACACTAAATCTTATTGGTTTGAGGGGGTGACCACAAATATACTAACTAATTAATGCAGACGATATTTTAGGTTACGAAATCATACACAAAAACGTACTTCATAGTTCCTGTTAAATAGAATTTTAAAAAAAATCAAATATTTAAAATTCGATTTCTCAAATTTAGCACCAATTTTTCCGAGCATCGAGAGAAGTTTTTCTTAACGGTCGGTTCCAGAGACATTCTTATTGTGTACGTTGACGGGCCCGCAAAGGATTTGCACCAATCAGATTCGAAACATCTTTTGCATTTGAATTTTGTTTCTTTATTTAACTAACGTTTAACGTAGTTGCCAGGAATCACTACCAACTACAGTTTTTTTTGTATCGCACAACTCACTACACTAACTTCTTTAAAAAAGTAGCGACTATAGTAGTTTTGCTACTTGTATCGCGCTACTTCCGACCACTGATTATAACACTTAAAAAATTTAGTTTGTTTGGGCTACACAAGGTCTACTTATTCAATTAGTTACAAATACTCAATTTTTAGGTCGGTAGGGGAAAGTGGGGTCAATTGTAACAGGGTACGATTGCAACAGAGCAAAAATTTCGAGTGTCGGGTTCTAGATTTGGTTCCTAAGTGGCGCACAAGGTGTATTTAATAAATCTACATGTACACCCCTGATGGCAACCATTTTTATGTACTTTTGAAAGAGTTACATCACAAAAGATATTTTCACGCCACGCAAGTACTTTTTTGGTATTAGAATACTATATTGTAACAAAGTAATTTTGTTTAAACAAATAAAAATTAGTAACCGAATATGTAAGGTAAACNCAATTTTGATCCTCTGCGGAGGGGATGGCACCCCCGCTTCGGTAGCCCGATGACCTGCGCTCGAAGTCGAGCACTTTACGGTAGCACAGTTCAACGAGGACCAATACCGCACACCCTCGGTCCCTACGCAGACTGATCCAACGACTACAGTAGTTTTGCTACCTGTATCGCGCTACTTCCGACCACTGATTGTAACACTTAAAAAAATTTAGTTAGTTTGGGCTACACAAGGTCTACTTATTCAATTAGTTACAAATACTCAATTTTTAGGTCGGTACGGCTTGATGGTACCAATTAGGCAACCGTTCCCCTAAATCGTATTGCTTACAGACGTTACAAGAACAATTTATTTTCAGTTACTGCACAAATATTATTACCAAAAAACAATGTATGTAATAACTGTATTTTATTATTAAAATATTTCAAATGCCACTTGTGACTGATAAAAATTGAAGTGTGAACAATCCTATGTATGACATGAACTAGTACGTATGTTTTGAACTAAAGAAGAGTTCTCGAAATTTACTTATGAGTTCGAAAGAATGAACTTACACTCTGTCAATGACTAGACATGTCACACCTTCTGGATCATCAGCAATGATGTTAGCCGTCCTAACATCTTCGCTGTAAAGAAAAGGAAATTCATTAGTTATTTTTGAAATGTATTGTAAGATACTAAAGAGTTAGCGCAACTAAATAATCAGATTTTAAATATTTACATTTTCGAGAAACTATTTCACAATTTCTTGAAACACGAAAAATGCTCACAAGTTTGTTTGTTTCCTGTAACAAATGTTTGGTCCTTTTGTCCTTCCCGTCAACATATTTTGTAGTCCTATACTCGTTGTAATGAGCATCTCAAGGTTACGTGATTTCCCAACTCTTCGTTACCATGGTTTCGGCAAATTTTACTTTTCTATATTATATATATAAAAGGGTGGCAGTCATGGTGAGTGTTGTTTGGCCACGCAGATATCAGTTGGAAGGCAAAAATATTTTATTTAGCTTCAAACAGTATATTCAAAACATTTTCTATCAATGGCGAAGCTCAAATTCGCACTCCAAAACTGCGTGCTTAAGTTTTTATCCTAGGGAAAGTAGAAAATGAATTTCCCTCTATTTTGTTATATTTTAGGGAAAAAGGGAAATCTCGTGCGATTCCCACAAAGTGTAAAGAGGAAAAATGTCTTTACATTTAATTATGCATACTTGAGCCAAAAGTAGATTTAAGAACAGGATGTGGCTTTTTGTGCTAAAATACAAACTAAGGCTAACAACGTTAAAGAGCATAAAAAATATTTAAGAATACAGACAGCTGTTTCGGATGCTCATAGGGCAACCTTCATCAGTTCAACAAAAAGAAATGAGAGAAAACAGGGTAAATATTGAGAAAGGTGACGTCACAAGAGGATTTAGTCGTTGCTCTAAACGTCGTTCGTATTGGTCGTTGCTCTAAACCCTCTTGTGACGTCACCTCTCTCTATATTTACACTGTTTTCTCTCATTTCTTTCTGTTGAACTGATGAAGGTTGCCCTTTGAGCATCCGAAACAGCTGTCTGTATTCTTAAATATTTTTTATGCTCTTTAACGTTGTTAGTTTGTATGAGAGAAAGTGTTTCGATTTGGAATAATTAATTAGGACGAAGTTTTATAAGAACTAACATAAAAAGATTAATAGAAGCTTTTTATGTTACACACACACATATATATATATGTATATATNTATTAATCTTTTTATGTTAGTTCTTTACTATAAAACTTCATCCTAATTAATTATTCCAAATCGAAACACTTTCTCATGCTTCAAAAAAGCCACTAATGCGACCACTAATGTTCATCTCCGTAGCCTTGTATTTTTGAACCCAATCCAGAAGACAAGGGAATTCCTGGATCAAGTAGTGGGAGAAATCTGCCTTTGTGGAGGACTTTTTTATGGAACTAACCCGTATTTGCGTTACATGGACAGGGTGCGTAGCCAGATTTTTCAACAAAAAATAAGCACTCAAAAAATAGTTTCGATCACTTTCCAAAAAAAAAAATTCATTATCAAGATCTGTGCAGGAATAAATTTTTTTTTTTCCTTAAGTTTAAAGTTCTTAATTTATGAACATAAAATGAATGAAATCCAAAAACAGTTTCACAAACTTCACATAATCATGATAAAATAACTAGTTTCTGCTAAATATTGCAGGGAAAATTGTGAAAATCATGAATGTTTCATAATTTAGAACAACAATCGAAACGGCAATAGAAAATTAAGCACATTTTATAAACCCCAAATTAAAAGCACCTTAAAACACTTTTAAAAACGCTACGCACCCTGATGGATAGGAAGACCGACGAGAAACTCTCATGGTTAGCCTGACGGCAAAGAGACTTTAACACAAGATCCTTCTACAACTTAGGATATTTCATTTCAGCACTGTGGTCGGTGCAAGCCAGATGCGGAATTCGTATTGAAAAGTCATTGCTGGGATTCGAATCCGGTTGACCTCATTCGTAGGCAAACGCTTTATCCCCTGAGTTTTCACGGCTCCTCTATAGTGTATTTCAACTTCTTACTGAAACATACGACCATCGCAGAAAAAAAAGAGTCTAGGAAAGTGTGGAGAGTGGAGAAATTACTTAACCTCGAGACGCCTATTCTGTTATCAATAAACATACTGCTTCACAAATGCGATATTTTTAAAAACCCTTCAGTTCCTTCGGCATTCATAAATAATTTTAAAGAAATCATGAGTTGGAAGTCCGGGGGATCTTGGTGATTATGAATAAATCATTCATACGCCTAGGCTAAGACACTGTTTATGTACCATCAACGTAAGTAAATAAGCATCTGTACAGCCTTTAGATATATTGATAATGTGTGTGAAACGAACTTGATAACAGATCAGATTTTTTTTTATTTTCGAAAGAAGCGCAAACATATAACATTTGTAACTGGAGAAAAAAAACGGTGATGTATACAATAGTTTAGAACACATAAACATTTTAACTCCTGCCATATATAAGTGACAACTGTGCATTATGCAAACAATACTGACCTCTGAAGAGCTTTCTCGCCAAAGAAATCTCCTTTCTCTAGGTAACGAATAAATTTCTCCTCTTCGCTGTTGGGATCTGTTCTCATTGTGACTTTCACCTAATTGAAAAACAATATCTATTAAAATATTGTATATGGGAAAAAATATTTCGCTATAGGGGAGAGTGGGGTCAATTGTAACAGGGTACGATTGTAACAGAGCAAAAATTTCGAGTGTCGGGTTCTAGATTTGGTTCCTAGGTGGCGCACAAGGTGTATTTAATAAATCTACATGTACACCCCTGATGGCAACCATTTTTATGCACTTTTGAAAGAGTTACATCACAAAAGATATTTTCACGCCACGCAAGTACTGTTTTTGGTATTCGAATATTATATTGTAACAAAGCAATTTTATTTAAACAAATAAAAATTAGTAACCGAATATGTAAGTGGACACTTTAATTAACATTTCATTAAAAAAAATTAGTTTTGCTAATTAACTAGCATTGTTTTTAACAAATGAAGCTGACATGGCGTCTTTGGGACGCTTGTAACACTAAGTAAAGGGACGATTGTAACAGCTGAAAATAAATAATCTTATGTTTACAAACCATTACTTAACTCTTTAAGAACCACCAATAGTTTCCTATAGCATTTATATTATGTTGCATGTGCATTATTT